CTTCTATGTCAGGAACTGAGGAGGAGAAATAGTACAAGACTGTATCATTAGCGTATAGGGATACTTGAGAATGGCGGACAACATTAGGAAGATTGTTGATGTAGATGATGAACAGTAGAGGCCCAAGGATACTTCCTTGAGGTACACCAATGTTGCATGGTAATGGCTGTGATACTTCTAAGCCACAAGTAGTGCGTAAGTATCTTGATGACAAGTAAGAGTCAAACCATTTGAGATCGTTGTCACGAACACCAGCTGAAGATAGTTTATTTATTAGAATCGTGTGGTTTACTGTGTGGCTTTTGACAGATACAAGAAGACAGCTCCACATAGTTTACCGTTATCCATGTTACGTAGAATGTCATCTGCAAGGCTGGCTAATGCAGTTGATGTTGAACGTTTAGGTCGAAATCCAAACTGCTTGTCAGAAAGTAGATTGTTTGCACTCAGGTGTTCGTAGAGTTGCAGGTGGACAGCTCTTTCGAGGATTTTACTCAAAGTCGGAAGAATAGAGATGGGTCGATAGTTGGCATCAGTTCTATCCCCAGTTTTARACAGGGCTATGACCTTAGCACATTTCCARATACAAGGAAACGAGTGCAGCTTGATAGATAAGTTCAGTAGATTAGTAACTGATGAGAATATGTGGACCGCGTAGCAATTATGAAATGCATGAAGATATAGAAATAGTGATAAGTTATAGTGCTTGGGAACGAGGTTATTCCGGGCGAAAGCCCTTGGAATTAAACTCGGAAAAATTAATTTCCGACCTCGCTGGGAATCGAACCCACGACCTTCGGAATTGTACTACCGATGCTCTACCAGCYGAGCTAGAGGTCAGACTGAGAGCAGGCCGGGGTGAAATAGATGAAAGGTCGCGGTWATTATGATGCAAAGATGAGAATTAGAGAATTAGAGGTTAGTAACTGGTTGAGCGATCACATCTGCAGAATCCTTGAGAAGGCGAGCACTGATGTTGTCCAATCCAATCGACTTGTTGGTCTTGAGAGATTTTAATTGATTGAGAACAAATGTTTCATCGACTGGACTTAGATGGAAACTTTGATCTGGGTCAGAAGTGATATTGGGTGAGAAGACAGGAATAAAAGAGGAGATTTTCTTTACAAGAAGTTGACCAATGGAAGCAAAGTGATTGTTCAATACGTTGACGATGGACTTTGACTCCAGATATTGAACACCATTGGAGACTATGCAGTTTGGAATATAGGCCTGATCCTGCTTCCGGCAGGTAGCTTTATTGATTGCTTTCCACAGATTGTTCCCGTTTTCCTTGCTGTCTTTGATCAGGTCGATGTAGTACTTTGACTTACTGCACTTTATATCGCTATTAACGGTGTTACGAAGATGACGGTACTTTCGGCAATGATAGGAAGAGCCAGTTCTTGTAGCTTTACGATGATGGAAGTCACGGTTGTGCATAGCTTCTTTCATTTTTGAAGTCATCCATGGACATTGGATACCATTGATTCGCCGTTTCTTGACAGGAGCATGAGCATCAGCCACATCGAGAAATAGTTTATTCCAAGCTAGGACTGATGCATCAACTTCGTCACTGTCTTCCACAAAGTTCCAAGGAACTTCTTTCAGGTCTTTCAGAAAGGCTTTGCGATCATAGTTCTTATAAGAACGGTATTCCACTGTCCTGGGACTTGCCTTAGGTTTACCTACTTTAAGAACGCAGTAAATGAGAGAATGATCACTGAGTTAGATTTACCACCCCACTGTCAGTATAACGATGTTCATTGTTCACGAAGATTAAGTCAATCATAGATTTTGATGTHTCAGTAACTCGTGTTGGGTCTTTAATCAGCTGGGTGAAATCCAGAGAGCGAGTAAAGTTGATTAGCTATTGCTTCAAATGATTTTTCTTAGAGGAGACATCACCGTTGAAGTCACCAAGTAAAATGACATCACTTGCTGAATAGTCGATTTTGTAAAGCAGAGATAAATGATGGGAAGTTAACGTCGGTTGCCCTGTAGATGGTGCAGATTAGAAGAGGTTTACATTTCTTTCGCACGATCTCAAACCAAAGGCATTCCACATCGTCAGTGTTAAGATCTTCGCGTATTCTGAAAGGCAAGCCATCACGAAGATAGGCCATAGTACCGCCGCCACGTTTCCCGTCAGGTCTGTCCTTCCTAATGCACGTGTAACCAGGGATCTGGATTTCAGCAYCAGAGATTCAGCTATTCAACCAGGTCTCAGATAAGGTGGGCACATCAMAGCTTTTCGAGATCGATGTTACCAATAGCTTCAACTCATCCAGTTTTCCAAGAAGACTGCGTACGTTAAGGTGGGCTATTGATAATCCCCTTGTTTTAACACCAAAAGATGACGCAGGGCCAAGTTTCGGTTCTACATCTCCAGATATGGCCAGAAACAGGAGTACGAGTCCAAATTGCTTCAGCAGATGGACACCAACGGCGAAGGTCATCTGTGGCGACAGGCTTATGGTCTTGTAATGTCGTGCTTGCCTGATGGGATGACTTGCTTGTATAGATAATATGGAAATTGATGATCCCAAGTACATACCGCAGTTGCTAGATGTCCAGGGCTCCACTGTTTTCTTTATGATGAGACTGCGCATCACGATTACAAGATAGAGAAAAGTGCACAGCAACCGGACACCAGATTTGTGTTTTCATGAGGAAAACACAACAGAAATCACGACTGTGAAGATACAGAATCCTGTTCATTTGCATATACTTTAAGACGGATTTTCTTGGCCAAATTCACTTTTATCTTGAAAATTTTAGCGAAACACAAAGGAACTAACCTAGACGTTTGATAAGTAATATATACAGTATGAGTGGCCGTGTTGTATCAGATATACGAHCACTCGGCTACGCCTCGTGGTTGTATATCTGATACAACACGGCCACTCATACTGTATATATTACATACACTCGATTGCAGAAACGTTGTAGTATACATTTATACATTTATACAAATACCTAATGAGATGCATATTGCAATTTTACTTTTTTAAACCTCAAAACCAATTGATTTATAATCTGTAGGATGTAAAACACAATATTTTGACGTTCATTGAATGAAACACATAGTAAATAAAGCGAGTTTTCTTTTTTGCATATACATATACTGAATAAATTAGGTATTTATATAAATGTATACTACAACCTTTCTGCAATCAAGTGTATATATGCAGAAATTATGATCCAACCAAGTATATAGTATATAACTATATAACTTCGATCAAATGGTCCGATTAAAAGGTTGCGGAAGGGTAAATGGGAGCTGGGATATTTATAAGCAATTAATAATGAACACTCCCTTAGAGCTGGGAAATGGGATTTTACACAATGGAACTGGGAATCACAAACAAGAGAAAAATGGGTTTAGATTTGTTCTTTTGGACTGGAATGTGATTAGAACGCCCTTCAGGATTCTCGCTTAATAATGAGGCAAGACATAAGACTAAAATGAGCATTTATTCCAGCTTGTAATATTTATGGGATACCTGGAAGGGGGGACTRAAGGAACTAAATACTCCGTGCATGTTGAAACCAGGTGGTTGAGATTCCAAAAATACTGATAAAGTATTTCGTGATAAACCAGACCCTGGTTGGGACGGTTTACTAGTATCAGAGTCTCTGAGAATCTAAAGGAGAAGTAAAAATAAGTTGCAAAATTTCGAACGACAGTGTTGAAAACCGTTTGAGGCAGAGCGTTTATGCCATACTCATCCAAGTCATCGAAAAACTCAGGCACCGTCCACACGTATCCGGAAATTTTTGTATCCGCAAATTATTTTTTWWAAATGTTTGCGTCCACACGCAGCGTATTCGAATCGTTTTCACCGTCCACACGTATCCGTTTTCGTAAAACTTGCGGATACAGACACAAAAATTGGCGGACACGTRTGGACGCAACCCTTATCCGTAAAAAAATATTTGCGGATACAAACATTTCCGGATACGTGTGGACGGGGGCTCAATCTGAAACATCCAATTCCAGTTCCAGTTCCAGTTCCAGTCCGGATTTTGACATGCGTAATTAGGTTGTTGTGCAAAACATGCACATTCGCACTGCTCGCTTTAAAATCAAAATGCTTCATTTAAAACGTAAATACAGGCTAATATTTGCTCAAGACCTCTCTCATAATTGCTTTACATTTTATARTTTTATAATTTATCGATATKTCTTAATGAATCACCATTTAAGCATTTTTTTCTAAGAAAAATTAAAAGAGAAAGGCTTCGAACGGCAACGATCAAACCCTGGAATGTGCGTATTGAATTATTTATTATGCTTCTTTCAGATCAAATAGAATCTTAAAATAAATATTGCTATGTACCTCATGTTTTTTGAGTAGACTTTGAAGCAAAAAAGGTTAATATAAATATAGGCTATAAGRATATCCATAATTTCAAGTTCAAGAGCTGAGAATAACGAGTAAAAGCCTGTACAGCCTTGCTCTTTCTCGACTTGGACGAAGAACAGTAAAAAATATACACCTACTTACAAGAAGGTTGTCATACCAGAATAGAACATTCGTAATTTAGTAAATTAGTGATTTAGTAAATTTACCGATTAGTATTAATCAAAAATGCGTCAATAAACAGCGGTTATATTTAAAATAACACCGACTGTCGAGTCCTAGGCAGGGTGAAAATTCTTTTTCTGCTTTGAAGATGCGGAGTTTGTTTTGAAAGGTAACTTATCTTAATCAAAACGCCAGACAACTCTTGAGACCTAGCTTTCAATCTCCCGAGTCATTACCCATAATGCAGTTGAAAGAGAACATGTGTGCCCACAGTCTTGGTATTCTAGTCCGATTCAGGACATGCTAATATATTTGAAATTTGCAAACATTTTGTAAACCGCTGTTTGCGGCCTCGTGCGCCCTCAGTCAACCTTTCGTCGAACCGTCGAACCTAGGTTTAATAGGTTCGGTACGACGTTAGTCCGTCGTTTGCCATAGGCCTAAATATCCTAGTTTATTATTGTATTTCAGAGACCTGCATTTGAGGAACATATTGATCAGTGATGAAGGTCATGTTTTGTTGACACATTTCAGTGTCTGGGAAGATGTGAATGAAGAATCAGATTTGTTTATGTTAGAAGAGGAGTACTGTGCACCAGGTAAGTCAGGACCATAATAATAATAATAACAACAACAACTACAACAACAACAACAACAAAAATAATACCCCCCCCCCCCCCCCCCCCCCCCCAAACGGGAATTACATTGATAGTTGCGCTCAATTATATTTTATAGTTTCTTAACTTTTTTATAATTTGTTTTTTTTTTTTCTTTTGTACCAGTGATTTCATTGTTATTAGTTAGTGGGGGTTGCCGTATATGAGGATTCAGTTCTTCCCTGGCAGCACCCTTTTTGCAACTTTTTTTAAATATTATTATTTGTTTGCAAATAAAGTAATCAATCAATCAATCA